AAAACACCGAGAATGCCTCACACGACCAATAATTCGTAACTATTGTTATTTTTGGTTTTCGCTTTGAGTGTCAACGGAGAACTATTTTAAGTGGAGTTTTCAAATTCTATTTTACCTTCTTTGTTGGGAATTAGATCTTCCTTGGCTAGAGCTTTCTCTCTTTGTGTTCACCATTTTTATGGGCTGCTTTTACAGAAGGCTCGATGGACCATGTACAGGCGGATAAGGGCGATGGCAGGTTTTGCTGCTGAGTAATTGGAACCTGTTTTAAAGATAGCTTTTTGAGACAGAGAGTGTGGACTGTAATTAAAGAAGAGGTTAGAGAAAGCAATAGTGTTTCGTTGACACTGGCGATCCACGACCACCTTTGATTATTATTAAATAATTTCTCAGAAATGAGAAATTATGTATTTTTGATTACGCAAAATTATATTAGACTAGGGAATAAACAGAGTCGGTTACGAATCCTTATAATGATTTATTGATGAGAGAGCTTGTGTGCTTACGGTGTGGTTGATTACAAAAGAAGGGCTTGTACCCAGCAAGAAAATTCATTAGTACAAAGTGATGTTTCAGTTCAATACATTTCAGTTACTTAAGTAATTAATATTCATTAAGGGAAGCATATTTCAGATATTATTAGTCGATAAAACAGTTCACATTAACTAGGAATATTTAAGTGTAAACTAGTTTAGACAGGCTGTAATTTAGTAATTTGAGTTTTTATTGGGTAGCAAAGCTCTACACTAAAAAGTTTTCGTAATTTTGGAATTCTTGTATTTTCGTTGCAAGTATCTGTAAGTATACCTATGGTGGAGGGCATTTAAAGTTTGGTCCGGCCGAACTTAACGCTTTATTCACTTTTTACTAGTTGAAACTAAAATAGTTGACTGATTTGTTCCGTTCGTGGGATTGTCCCCATATTTGACCATTTTGACCTTAGTCCGATAAGCACGTTTTGAATTCAGTTTCAAAATACCAATATTCGTGTTTAGCGTCATAACACTAGAATGCAAACGAACGTAAATGGGTAATGCATATGGCATGTTGGGTGCTCTAGGAAGGAAAGGGAGATGGAAAAACTTATATTGGGATTTAGAGAGTCTTTCCCATTCATATCCCCTTAGGCCGGTTAGTTCATGAATAATATCATTTACCAAGAATTATGTTCAAATTCTTGCAAAAGCTGAACAGTGGCATAGAAAATGTTCACCGTCTTCCCCACACGCTCTACACCTGTTACTTTCCTCGCACCCAATCTTATATAAATATTGCTGCAGGCTGAGATCTGATAAGTTTCATCCTCATTGGGATCTCTCGACCTCGACCATTAAAGATGATGTTTCGTTTTTCTAGTGAGTATTCAAGCATTTAAGAAGTCAATCACAGGCTCTGAAAGTTCTTTGAAATACCAAAATATCTGATTACTGAAATTGAAAAAAAAAAAATTGAATCTAAAAAGATTCTCACTTCTCTCAGTAAAATGGAGGAATACGCCAGTGGGGTGGAAGAGAAATTTCAAGTTATTGCTACAGCCGCCTGTTTCCCTTATCTCTGTAGCCCCCAATAATGGTACCCGCCCCCCATTATTCGGTATTTCGATAACTTTATCAACATTTTTAATCGAATTGGATCTACATTTTTATTTGGATTTCGTACTGGATATATAGTATTCCCACGAAAAACTAACAATATCGGTCCATGTTTTGGTACAGATTCCTATAACGATTCCAACCCATTTGCCGAATTTTCAAGATTTTCGTCACTTTGTTGCACCGTAGTGGTTGTAATTTGGAATTACGAGCTCTTGGAAAGGCCAAACCTTTTTACAGAAAAAAATCGATATATGCCATGTTTTGCCATAGCTTCATTAGCCCGCATCATTTTTAATACATTTGATCACTAAAGTAACTGTAATTTTGTATTGCGGGCTTTATATAGTTCCACGTTCTGGCACAGCCCCAATATGACGGTTCCAGGCCATTTTCGGTATTTTGACTCTCACGGAAGTGACTTTAATTTACCATTCCGGGTTTAAAATATATCTGACGAAAATGTTTTGATCGAAAGCCCATAAAATGGTACCAACACATTATCGCTATTTTGAAATTTGTAGCCGCATTGCATCGGAATGTTCGATTTGGGCCAAATATGCATCGTTTGTATGATTTGTTGCCATTTTAAAGGAATTTCTCGATCATTTTCGCCTTTGTCATTTTTAACACCCTGTACTCACAAATGAAGGCACCAATCAAAAAACAGCAACATATTTTTTTTACTGCGAAATGTCACCCTCACAACTAGCGAGAAATCTATAAGTTCAGCCATCTGCCGAAAAAATAATGGATTTATTTTTCCCCAAACTAATGCTCTTTAAAAATTCACGCCATGGAATTTGTCATTTCCTTTTGCAACGCTTCGAAATAATAAAATCTTCCTACTGAAAATGATCAATATTGGTATAGTTTTAAGTGTAGCTTCCATATAACGGTACCCGCAATTTCTGGCTATTTTGGGAGTTCTAAACACGTTTTACAATAGAATCAGCTTTAAAATGGTATTTTGGACTCACTTCAGCTTTTCACTTTCTGTATACGAATTTTTTTCAATATTAGCCCAAGTATCGGGTAACTCTATATAACGCCGAAGTTTCCGGATAGCCCCCATATAATGGTACAGCGGTATATTGAGGCTTATTTTTTCACTAAATTCGTTCTAATTTGATTTTTCGAATTCGTATGGTGTATCAAACTTCCTATCTACTAAATAATATCAATGCCAGTTTACATTTTGGTGTAGCTCCCTCCCGTCACATATTCCCTATTTTGAAGACTTATGCCGAAGTTGTCCATCGATGTTGCTGTAATTTGTTAAAAAGGCTTGTGGAATGCTGACTTATATACAGATATGTACAAAATGATCAATATAAATGCATGTGTTGAAATAACCTCCATATAAGGGTAGCCGCATTTTGTAGGTTTTTTGATTGATTGTCTATGTAGGTCCAAGTTTTTATATAATTCCCATAACACAATAGCATAGTCCCCATATAATTGTCCCGATCGACTTTAGGAATTTTGAATGCCCATCACGTGGTGGATGGTATAAAAAGTTCACACCGGTCGAACTTAAGGATTTTTTACTTGTTTTTATACCATCAGCCTTATGGCTAATGAGGGTGAATATGGTGAAAATGTCCCTCATGTTTCTTTAGACCAAATCAGTTTCAAAAAATGTGGAGTCGATTTACACATGTCCGTCCGTCTTTCTTTCATCTAAACTTTGCACATCTTAATATTTCTTCCAAACTTAGTTTAAGTTGGAAGACGGGGAATATCGGCCCACTTCTTCTGGTTCCTCCCCCACAAAATGGTAAAATTGTGCTAAAATTTATTTTATAATAACATGTAAACGGACTATCTGATTTTAACAAACTTTGTACTAGCTAATATTTTTACCAAGCCTAGGTCAAGTAGGAAGATGGGACCCATTGGTCTACTCCTTCAGGTACCACCCGCACAAATGATCGAAAATTTCTATATTTATAAATCCAATATCAGGCGACTGGTATACCCGATTCGAACCAAACATTTGAACAACCTATTATCTTTACCAAGTCTAGCTCAAGTATGAAGATAGGGCCTATTGGTCCACTCCTTCTGGTACCTCCCACACTAATGATCAACATTTTCAATATTTAATAATGCAATATCAGACGAATGGAATGTCAGATATGAACTAAACCTTGCGCACCCTATTATCTTAACCAACCCTATATCAAGCCCGAAGATGGGACCCAGTAGTCCACTCCTTCCGGTAACTCCCTCACAAATGGTCAATATTTTATAAAATTCGATCTACATTAAATTCTAAACTCTTTTTATAAAAAACACATTTCTTATATAAAGCTAATAATAAAATCAGTGTATAACTCCGAATTAACCGACCCTATATCAAGTCCGAAGGTGGGGCCCAATAGTCCACTCCTTCCGGTACCTGCCTCACAAATGGCCAATATTTTATAAACTGTGATCAGCATTAAATCCGAAACCCCTTTGATAAAAACACGTTTCTTATATAAAGCTTATAATAAAATCAGTGTATAATTCCGAAGACCTCTGCAAACCATATGCTGGTGGTATATATATGTCGGCAACACCGACTGACACTTTTTTACTTGTTTTTTATTATTTACGTATGCTTGTCCGTCTGTCCATGGAAATTCAATAGAATTAATTAAATATTTAATTCAACATTTTCTTCAACTTCCTATCTCCGTTAAGTAGTAGCTTTTACCTTCAATCTTATCTACCAGCGTGATCATTTATTTTCAAAACTCGGAACACATGTGGAATCCAAATGTGTTATTACAATGTTTTGTTCGTTCTCTTACGAAAAAATCTCTTCTCTTAAATTGCATGACAACAACAACTAACACTCACAGCCGTAAACAAAAGATAACAAATAGCATTGGCTAGAGGGTATTGTTGTGTGATGTTCAACAAACGAAAAAAACAACAACAATAAAAACACGTTCTATAAATAAACTAGAGGCACACTTGGGGTCTGCACACCCCCCAACAGAGAAAACATTAAGATAACGCACGACCAGAACCAATGCTCGTTGGTTCAGCTGTCTAAACGGTTGTGTTGCGTATCTTTCAGTACAGCGAGTTTTGAATGAAAACACAAGGCACTAGGTTCAAATCACAGCGACGGCGTCTCTAGTGAAATTTGGAAAACATTTTTCGACAGATGCGATTTTTAACGGCATAATGCTCTGACTCTTGATAGTCAGAATATTTCCTAGCAAATCGCAGATTACCATATATCGGCTGTTGCCTAATTTCTGCTACGTTTGGTTAATAAACGATAGTGTCGAAGGCAATTTTCGAACAAAACCTTTTTGAATCGATAATTTTTAAAAATGATAATTTTAAATTTCTATAAAAAGCGTTTACATTTTTTGTAACTACAATTATTTTATTTTTTTCTTCATTCCAGCTACAACAAATTTTGTTGGTAAATTCACGCAAAGCGTTCGAAGGATTGTCCAGGACGTCAAGGATGAAGGTGCACCTAGTAAGACACAAAATCATGACAATGACACACAACAATATAAATTTCCCTGACCTCATTTCAAATATTCAAACTCCTTCTCTTACTATTTCAGGTGGCATGAGCCGTGAGGAAGTCATCGAGACAAATGAGCGGCTGCGTAATTTACGCATACGTCTGGAGGAATCTTACGACACGGCTAAACAAGCTTTAATAACCCTTATGAATAAATATGGCGATTCGAAATCACAACGTAATATTTTTCAACGTTATCCCATGCTGAAAATTATGATAAAGGTAATATCGTTGTGTTATTTCCTTAAAATGTTGAATCCTTAAAAAATATGATTGTTTAATTTTCCTAGGATGTAATTCGATTAGAAACGCAATATTGGGCCCTCATCGATATACCACGCCAAGAGAAGCAGGAAACGGTACCCACCTATGTCATGCGTGCCTGTTCGATTATGGAAAAGACGCAAAAATCTGGTGAAGGTGTAAAAACATCTGCCAAATTGGCAGAGGAGGCAGCGGAGAAACGTGAACGTTTAGAACGATTGGAAAGTAAGAATCAATGTGTGTTGAATTTAATTTTTCATTTAAATCTACTACATGTTAGGGTTTTGACTAGACCCAAGTGATCCAAACCCGGGCTTTCTTTAAAGGCTCATGCCAGTATGCTGTGCAACAAACGTAGTCTTTGGTGTGCTAAATTCGATTTCAGCAAAACTTAACAAGTGTCATTCTCAATATCTCAATATGGCACATATTGCTAAATGTTTCCCTATTCGGAAAAAAAGGTGGAAATATATATGAAAGATAACACTGAATTTAAATTTAGTACGATGTGCAAGGTTACTGCACAGTCGGATATTTTGTGCCTTACAAACATAATTCTACACTCAATTTGATACGTTGTGTCTATGATCTATATAAAATCGGTCAAAAATATATATGAGAACCATATATAAATCTAAACCGATTTTAACAATGTTGAGGTATACTATGTAAAATTCCGTTGCCATCGGAAAATCAGTGGCTATTTAGTGCCTCATTTTTATCAAATCGGTTAAAATTATATATGTATAAAATACATACTTCACACGTCGCGCTGATGCGATATTAGATTTTATCTATATATATAAAAATGGAGCAAGAAAAATGTATACTAACGCATCAATTGAGAACGGCTGGACCGATTTGATTCAAAATTGTTTTCAGTTGTCGGTAATTACAGTGGGAAGGTTTTTATGAAATAAAATTTTGAGAAAAATCCGCGAAAATTATTTTAAAGAAACGGCTGGGCCGATTTGACTTAAAGTTTTTGTTAGTAGTCTGTAATTGAAGTGGAAAGATTTTAGTGAAAGAACATTTTAAGAAAAATCCGCGAAAATGTTGCAAAATATATTTTGAAAGATATTAGCATTTCCACACATTTTATATCGAATCTTTATGGTTTCATCTCTTCGGAGTTCTTTTTGGATATATTTTGGACGAAAATGGGCAGCGTATATTTTTAAGAAATTGTCAATTATGGATAATTCTCAAAATATGTTAATTTTCTACAATTAATTGGATTACCATTGCCTTGAAAAAACTATTGTCTATGAAAATCTATATACATATGTATGTATATGTATATAAAAATGAATTGTTCGTTAGTCTCGCTAAAACTCGAGAAAGGCGGAGGGGATATTTCTTATCTTAGTCTTGAAATGTTCGTGGAGCTTCAGGAAAAAACCGAAAAAAATTGCAAAAGAATATTATGAAGCATATTTTGGTAGCACCACATCGTAGTTGTTATTTTGAAATATTTTGGGCGAAAATTAGTAGCGTATTATTCCTTTAAGCCTACATTTGCCACTTATTGAAAATTTTCAAAATATTTAATTTTTTCAATTGTATTGACATTGTATTGAAAATTTTTTATGTGAGAATACAAAAAATAATTGAAAATTTTATAATTGAATTTACACGCGGTCATTCTATGCACACGTTTTCCATAGAATGCAAGTAAAATTTTGGGTAAAACAAGGATGGAAAATCAACCATTATATGGTGGTTATATGTCTAATCGTTTGTCAATATCTTTGAACTTATAAACAGAACACCTCGCATATATCCGATACCAAAAATGTGTAACAGTAAGCTCAATTAGAAACTTATTAAAACTTGGACATAAATAGAGTATTTTTCGCCAAAATGTGTCTTAATCCCCAATATACCGCAATGAAATATTACAGCTACTACAATGGGAATGAAGATATATTAGTTTTTTTGTAGGAAGATTAATGGGGGATATCATTATATTGGTCCTACCCGGAAACTTGGAAAAATATTTATAATTTTTTGTAAGGAGATTTTGTATTCAATGATCATCTAAAATATAAAATTACAGCCTATTTGGTTGAAATAAGTGACCAAACTCCCCAAAATACTGAATATTGTAGGTACTGTTAGGTTTCCATATTTATCTCTACATGTTAGGTGCAACCCCACAAAGGTGGACTAATATTAATAATTTTTAGTAGGATTCATGCTACCAAATAAAACAACCAACTACAGCTGATTAGGTTGAAAAACGTGCCTAAATCCCCAAAGGAGGCTTCTTGAAATTTTTGCTTCGAACATTTTCTACTCGATGATCATCCAAAATATAAAATTACAGCCAAAGAAGTAGTGATTATATTAAATTAGAAGAATGCTGTTAAAGACCGTGTTTAAGATCTTCAAAATACCGAATATTGAGGGCTACCATGGGCCAATATTAATATATTGGGAAAGGTAATTAAATCCGAAAGTCAAACTTATATGTGCATTTAAATTTATTTAATTTATTTTTTTTTTTTTAAAAATGGCAGCAAGACTCGCTCATAAACATCAAGTTGTAGATGTTTAGTACTTCTATGTTACTTTATGCGTGCTCTGATAAATACCAAAATATTACAAAGAGCAGTACACTATACATTATGGTGTAGTTTAGTACAAAATGGAAAAATTCGCTGTTGCAAACATAAATTTACTGTGAAAAAAATTCATTCCGGGTGGGGTGCCGGACCCCCCGGGCCGACCCCCTGCGTACGTCCCTGGTGGGGTTACAATTATATGAGGCTATAATAAAACAGATATCAATATTGATAGTCAGATTTGACAGCCAATGAGAATACAAAATACCAAATTACATCCAGTTCGATTGGAAAATGTGTCCAAAATTTCCAAAATACCGAATATTGGGAGTACCGTTATATGGGGGCTAGACTACAATACCAAACTAGGACCACCAATCCTAGGAGTATTAACAATGTCAGAGCAAAATTACGGAGCTTCCTCTTAAATATTGCGTTCTCTATAGTGATTTCACGATTTTTGGTGTCTCCGGTGAATACTTCGAGGTGTTGCAAACGGAATGACAAATTTAATATAGAGTTCTCTTGACAATAAAAAATATCATGGAATGATTTTTTTTAATTGTCTTGCTAATGTTTTGGTTCATTTAGTTAAAAAATATTGACAGATCATAATTCAATTCCGGTGTTTATTGGCTTATTTAATTCATCCCCTAAGCATCTTTCGACCGTTCAAAACGATAGATGCCGAACTTCACCAAAACCTTAACTTCATACAAAATTGTATAGCTATTATCTAGTGTGGTAATGATAACACAAAAACTTTAGAATAGACCCGGTCTCTGTCCTTCTAGAATAAATGTATACGGCATATAATGAAATTTTTTTTTTTTTTTTTTTTTTGTCACACAAAAGTCTTGGTCAATTGAACTCGCTCAATATGCTTATTCATTAGCATTTGCCCCAAGTACAATTTTGTAACCTCTAGAGAGACCAGAAATAAATATAACATGTTTTTGGTTGACTTCCAAAGCCAAATATTGACCGATTTTACCAAGCACAATAAGTGTCTTCACTGGCCACAACGGGATATACAAAATATCGTGACAATTGTTTGACAGCTGTGACCGTTAATGAACATACGGATAGACACATACATCTATATCTACTGAGCTAGTCGTGATATAACGATCCGTATACCAAAATGTGAGTCCAGAACCAATATTTGCTTACAAACTGTTGAAACACAAACACTTACAATAATATTTTCTTATATTAATTTTTAGCACTTTTTTCTGGCACTTTTCTAAAATTTTTAACACACAAAATCTAGCATTTTTTCCCAATCAAGTTTTGGCAACAGTGCACTGTGCCAAATTTCGTGTAAATCGAAAGATGTATAGGAACTTTTGTCCCTCATTTACTTTTAGGGAACCCCCCTCCCCCATTCTCGATTTTAATTTTTCAAGATTTTCAATCAATACCAATGCTTGTTAAGGTTTGTAATTTTACACATATATAATTGAAGATAAAATAGAAGAAAAATAATTTACAAAAAATTTTTGTTATTGTTTTGTTGTTGTTTTTTGTAATTAAAGAAAAGTCCTTATTTTTGATGGCGGGCATGATAACTCCTCACTGGAACATCGGAATCCGAAAATTCCAACGGTGTTAGAAAGAGTACATGTCTGGCTCTCGTATTATTGACTTCGCTCTAAAATTAACAAAATGGCGGACCTTTGAAAAAATATTTTTGGAAAATCGGCAATTTTTTACCAAAACCAAAATTAAAAAATAAGGAAGATCTTCACCGATTGGCTTTATCCTAGTTCATACGATAGCTATACACTCACAGAGAAACGTGTAAAAATTTGAAATCGATTGGGTTATTAGTTTTTGAGTTATCGTGCCCGCCATTCGCAAAAAAATGTTTAGAGAAAAACGCGTTTAAAGTTTGAGAAGCCCTTCAGCCGTCACTTGATGCTGACACAATAAATCGGCTATATCTTCAAGATTTCTTAAGATTTTCATTTGAAAATTTGTAGGGACATTCTTTAATTAGTGTAGATTCGAATTATATCAACAAAATTTTTGACCCCGAGAATGGGGGGGTCCCCTTAAATCGGACGAAAATATATATGGGAGCTACATCTACCCTACATCAATATCCACAAAGACATAATACCCTGTACCACAGTGTGGTGAAGGGTATAAAAAGGGAGTTACATGGGAAATACCCCTAAAAGGGGGCGAATATTAATAATTTTTGTAGGGAGATTTGTTGCCATATGCGACTACAAAATATCAAATTACAACAAATTTGATTAAAAGACTCGCTCAAGAACCCAAAAATACCTAAAATTGGGTGTACCCTTATATGGGGACTACCCGAAAAAAATTGACGTATATTTATAATTTTTAGTAGAGAGATTTGCTACACAATAGCAACTCAATCTACGAAATTACAGCCAATTCGGTCGAAAAATGCAATCAAAACTCCTAAAATACTAATAAGTGGGGGGTACCGTTTTATGGGGGCTACCAAAAAAAGTGGACCTATTTTTATAATTTTTAGTGGAGAAATTTGGTACTCAATAAGAACCGAATGTACAAAATATAAGCGAATTCCGTTGAACTCTATGCTAAATTTTGGCGATCTAGCTCAATACGTTTAGACGCTAGTATGATTACCACAGACAGACGGGCATCCTTAAATCATAGAATTTAAGCTTTATAGGGTCGGGAATGATGACTTCGATGAGTTACAAACAGAAAAACAAACTTAATATACCGTATATACTATGGTGGTGGGTATAAAAATTGTAATTCTTATGGTCCTATAACCATTTTTCAACCAAAACGGCAGTAGTTTGTCATTCCGAGTTCTTGATGGGTACAAACACTTCTTTTTTTTTCAATATACATAATTCACCATTTTGTCATAGTTGTCAATCAATTTCCTTTAAAATTCTTCAACATTTATATTATTAGGAAATTTTAAAAAAATAGATATTTACAAACTTATTTATACCGTTTCAATTACTATATATTTCATTTTTAATTTTCTTGCAGATATGACCACCGCACAAATTGAACATGAAAATAATCAACTCATAAATGATCTATATAGATTACTGAAGAAATATTTAGGCCTTAGACATTTAATAAGAGTACTCAAGGTAAGAGATATTAATAAAAAATAATTTTAAGTATTTATTTTATAACGATATTTATTTCCAAAATATGATAGACATTGTATGCACATATGTATACCAAAAAACATAATTTAATTTGGTGACTCTCTATCATACGTGTCAATATTTTTTCCATAATTATTAAAAATGTTCTTATTTCTTTTAGGAGGAATACGGTAGTTCAAAACTCTATCCCATTTTTCCGCGTTACACCATGCTCAAGGATATGATTAAGGGTATTATGCATGATCCCGACTATATGGAAGTATGTCATGAAATAACCAATTAAACTCAATGTTCATCTGTGTTAGTGTCGAAATGTTCACAAATATATTTGAAACGTTTTATGTTTTAAGATGTCTCTAAGAAAAGCAAAAAATTAAAAAAAAATATTTAAACAGAAATGAAAGAAACACAAGGTTTATAAATGTTTTGTAGTATTAGAGTAATAGTAAAGAATTTGAAAAAAAAAAAAATAGAAATGGAAAGAAGGTGAACTCTGGAAACATCATTATAAACACGAGAGATATCATAACATTAAGGATTGTAATAATAACGCACATATTCCCAGACATTATATACCATGTAAATATGTCTGCGCCAAGTAATGATGCTAAAGTCTCAATATGAAGAAAACTCCTCATTATTTGAGCATCATCGTCAAAACAAAAAAAAAAAAAATCATATATACATATATTATCATCATCGTTAAAAAAATAAATACCTGTTAATAAAATATAACAGCAGCAGCAATATAAGGATATACGAGTACATCCTTTATAATTAGCCATGTTTGTGTTTGCATGCTTTTATAACTAAGTTTCTTTATATTTTTTATGTTGTTTATGAGGCAATAAATTAATTCATAAGTAGAATATTTTTTAATTTATTAAAATATGATTTCAGCGCACCCTATGCTTCATCGTCTTAAACAAACCAAATTGCAAATAGTTTCCTTAAATATAAAATACCAATATGAGTTCTTGTATATCGGATATTTACAGAAGACCAGTTAGATTTGTATATACAGAAGTCTAATCGAAATTTTTATACCCTACACAACAACGTTATTATGCTATTAAAGCTTTGTATAGCACCAAAGCATGGCTGTTTTGATGAAGATCGGTCAATATTTATCGGATCCTTTTGTATGAAAAGTGACAAGTTGGTAATATATTAAACTGTATTGATGTATGTACTAGGATAGGGACGTTATCCGTAAATATTAGGTTGGGGAAGAAGAAATTCATTATTTTTTCGGCAGATGGCTGCACTGATAGATTTCTCGTAAAGTATCGGTCAAACAGATTTATGGTCTTTAGAGAGGTGGCATTTCGCAGTAAAAACAAATAGTTTGCTTCTTTTGGTTTGCTGCATTCAGTTGTGAGTTACAGGGTGTTAAAAATAGAAGTGAACAAAAAGAAAATTCGGTATATTTTACGGGTTTTCTTTGACAAAGGCGAAAATGCAAGACAAGCGGCTAAAATTGTGAATGGTGTTTATGGTACCGATACTGTAACAAGCCAATGTGCAATCTTGGTTTCTTAGATTCTGTTCAGGAATTTTTGGTGTTAAAAATGCACCTCGCACAGGTAGGCCGGTCGACGAAAATGTCCATAAAATCGGAGAAATGAAATGAAGTTGACCGCCATTTTAGCAGTCGTAAAATCGCCCAGGTGCTAAAAATAGACAATAAAACCAAAAACGGCCAATAGAGAGGTGTCGTGTTCCACCTGGACTACGCTAGGCCACTCACATTTACAGTGACTCACCAGAAACTTCGGGAGCTTGGTTGGGAAGTTTTAATGCATCCGCTGAACAGTCCTAGCGATTATCATCTTTTTCTTGCATTGCAAAATTTCTTTAAGGGGACCCCCCCCCCATTCTCGGTTATCATCTTTTTCTTGCATTGCAAAATTTCTTTAAGTGAAAATCTCAATAATTTTTGAAGATATAGCCGATTGTCTTAGCATCAAGTGACACCAACAGGGCTTCTCAAACTTTATACGCGTTTTTCTCCAAACAGCGTTTTTGCGAATGGCGGGCACGATAACTCAAAAACTAATAACCCAATCGATTTCAAATTTTGGGACTTTTTTCTGCGAGTGTGTGGTTATCGTATGAACGACGATAAAGCCAATCGGTGAAGATCTTCCTTATTTTTAAACTTAGTTTGTGGTCCAAAATAGGCGATTTTTCAATAAAAAAATAAGTTCCGTCATTTTGTTAATTGTTGTGCGAAGTCAATAATCCTAGCTGGTTTCCTTTAATGATCAAAAATTGCTATCTAGGGAGGATTGTGAAAATCGACTTCTAGAGTATTTTTTGCAAATAGAGAGCAGGACTTCTATCAGAGAAGCATTATGGAGTTACTTTTAAAATGACAACAAATCATACAACCAAACGTGGCATATTTTAGCCCAGATCGGGCATTCCGAAGCATGTTATATAAAGTCCTATAGTTCATATAAAAATAATGGATTTCTTTTTCCCCAACCTAATAAACAGACCCACGTTTTAGTATACCAATCGAGTTCATCTAGCTATGTGTTCGTTCTTTCGTCTGTCCATTATAATTTGTAATCGAAGTACATGTGTGTATGTAGGTTCGGTTCTGCCCAAAGATCTGTTAATATTTATGTTTGTATTTTTTTCTGCTCGCTCTTCTAACCACAATTATGATGTGTTTGCCTGTTGATCTTTGACAGGTCCTCTCATTGAACACCATTGGTACCTTCTGGGTGAAATAAAAACTGGTTTTCCAAAAAAAGACCAATAAATTCTGTTCTAGAAGACTAATTGGTTTGATTTCTCATTGGGTAATGTCCCCACCAGAAATTATAAATATTAGTCAAATTTTTATTTGGGCCTATTTTGGTTGTCATACCATCAAAAATTGACCATGGCCAATAATAAATGTTCCGAACTATTACAGATATTTAAAAAATCAATCTCCTGATGGAGGGTAAAAAGTCCTGATAAAGGTAGAGATGGCAATATTTTAGATCTGAAATGTTGCACAGACATCGCTAGTACTCTTAGGATGTTTGGTATTGCAAATGGGATATATTGGTCCACTTTTTGGTGCAACTCCCATATACCCGTAATATTCGATATTTCACGGATTTTGGACACGTTTCTCAACCGAATTGTCTGTAATTTGCTGTTTTGAGTTCTCATTGTCATATTGACCCCAGTTTGAGGATAGCCCCCATACAACGGTACCCCCAAATATGTTGGGGACTTTGGACACATTTTTCAACCTAATTGACTGTAATTTGGTACTGTGACTGTAATTTGGTATTTTGGATTCTCAAGGAAAAAACACATATCCGTACAACTAATTATTAATATTGACTTAAGTTTCAGGTTAGCCCCCATATAAAGGTAGTCCCCAATACTCGGTATTTTGGGGATTTCGGACAGGGTTTCCAACCGAATTGGCTGTAATTAGATCTGTTGGGTTCTTATTAAATAGAAGATATGCATAACAAAAATTATTAATATTGACCCACGTTTAAGGAGTCATAATATCATATTCTGTTCAAGATATATATTTTTTATTATAAAATTTGATCGTTGTCATTATGTTTGAAACACTATACAATTTAAATTACCTCCACGCGAAAGGTTGCAAGCATAGGTAAGGTAATTTTCTACCACTTTTTGGTGCCCAGGTTGCCAAGATTAATTTTTATTCGTTATGAGATAGCTAAACGATCCACTTTCGTCAACGTCAGACTTTGAACTGAAAAGAAAAATATTGGTTTTACAACATAGATTGACAGATATCAAATACCAGTCCCATACTTATGAGACCACGTAAAGAATAATCCTTTATTTTAGTATTAATAATATTGTTTCTAAGTTCTATGTATGCTTTTGTATGCCTCCTACATTTTGAGTGTTTGATGTACTTTGAATGTGATAATTTTTATCCTTGCCTCATTAATCACCAAACTTTTTTTTTCTTTTTGCAATTTTTCCCCCATTCATATCAATTTCTTTACAGATAAGTATACCACTGGTTTTAAACACGACAGGCCAAAGCTAATTATGCTAATCATCAATCATACATGTACAATACTCCCCACTTCCCAAAAAAAAGACTCCTAAATTTGATCCAGCTTGTTTTCATTTGATGACATTTTACAATTCGCAACATCCACAAAAACTCATCTGCATTGCTTTTGGTAATGAAACTTATTTGTTTATGCACCAATTCCTCTGATTTCCCTTATAACTTATTATTAGCTAATATAGAACAAATTTATTTATAGTTGCTGTAAGAATTGAGTGAAAACTGTGTTCCTAAACCAAAAAAAAAAAAAATTAGTTAAGATAGAAGAATATTTAAATTTGCTTATAAACAGCTGCTGTTGTTATTTATTTTGGTAAGAATTGAAATCATCTCACCTAACAAACACAGAAGATTGAGGTTCCATGTCAACAGAAAAATTGGAAATAGTTAAGGTAATATTGGAATATACTTATAATCATTTGAAAAAATAAATAAATAAAAATGCTAAGTGTCACATCATTATCGTTTATTTTATTTTGTGATGGAACCTCTGAATCATATTTCATTTTCCCATAGGTAATCATTTAACATTAATTAAACAGATGTAACTTATAACGTATATAGTAAATAAAAATATGGATAACATACATATATATGTTTATGTTGTTGAAAACGCATTTATTTTGTACTACAATTAGAAAAAACGATAATATTGTGTTTTTGTCAAACCATAAAATAATAAAAAATATAGAATTTAGATAAACCAATATACATACATATATAACATTGATATGAAAAACAATACTTTGTACGTAGTTATAAAAAAGATAAATAATGACTTCCAACATATTTTTACATATCCTCAAATTCATGAAACAGTTACACAATCCTTTATTTCTTATTTATTATGATATTCAAAGGACACACCATGAGCCAGGAACTCATTTTATTGGCAATAAGGTCATTTCCGGTAGGGAGGAAAATGCGTTATTTATTTCAAATCAGGGGACGGCAGTAAAATTTTGTATCATTGTGGGTCACGGTTTACAAATGACATATGGTCAAAATTTCATATTTTTGTAATTATAATTTAATTTAAAAAAAAATGACAACAGAGATGGAACTGGTGATTATAATGAAAGTGGACATTATTAGTATTTTCAAGATAATCATCAAAAAAAATCGTAAAACTTATAAATATAATTGTTTATAGAAAAAAATCGACGCGTTGATATGTTCTCAGAATTGTAAATTATAAATTTTGAGTTATTGTCGATAAAATTGTAA